TCCTCCACTCTTTTTTTTTTTTTTTTTTTAATCCGTAGTTGATCATGAGACACAACGTTTTCAAAAAGAGGAAAAAGTCCCTGGAATAAATTTAACCTAATGAAACCAAACTATCATTTTGATAAGAAAGTCCAGACAACTACAGGAGCGGACAAGGTCAGAGGGAATATAGTCCAAGAGGCACAGAGTCCAGCCAATGTTCCCCACATCAGCATTTGATGGCCACTGAAGATGGTCATGGCTCAGCAAGTCAGCCAAAGGGAAAGCTCCATAACTACTGTTAGAAATGAAGCAATTGTGCACAGTGTCTTCTTCCTGAGTTCCCTTCCCGAATACTAACTATAATTGTTATATAACCCTAAACTGATTCAGGAAGAATATAGGAAAAGAACAGAGAAGCAGGTTGACTTAAACCAACTGAAAAACACCATGAAAAAGTCAGGATAAATACGTGCTCAGCTAGAAGAGGGTGGATTTTTTCCCTAGGTCTGGGGGATGCCCTACCAGAGGAAAGCCAAGTCTGAGTTCAACAGAAGGGTATTGCCTCACATCATTTAGTTCACAGAATTGCCTAGTCACTCACATCTTAATTCTTCACCAAGATCATATCCTTCTAGGCAAATTTATTCAAATCCGTAGAAGCAAACATTTTTTTCTCATCTCTAAGCCTCTTCTCAAGTCTTATACTCTATTCAAAATATTCTCCTCTCTATATATCTGGACAGTCATTTCATGTTAACTCACCAAGGAATCTCCTTAGATTATTTAATTTTGAAATCTCACGCTTCATGAGCTCTCCGATCAATGGAAAAAGGCAAAATGATTTTCCTCTGATGTGATATGCATCAGATTCTTCTCACACCAATAAATTCTGGCATTCCTTCCCTACTTTTCTTTTGCTTCATTAATTCGTTCATTTGTTATATCCCTCGTCATATAAATATAAAATCTCTCTTGTCATTGGAATATGTCTTAGGTCTTCCAGGAGGAAAGGAACTGTGTCTGTTAATTTCACTTTGTACCACTTCTAGCAAAGCACTGCATGGAAAGAGTTACTTTAATAGATGCTT